TACACAAGGATTCGAGAAGGAAGTGGCATTGGCCAACTATTCTGCGCCAGAAATATCCGAGATAAGATATTGGTTGACCCGGATTATCCTTCATTGCGTGAGTTTCCCCGTAGTGCACCTTCCCGGAATTTATTTCCAGATTCTGATTCCTTCCTTGGAAATAGTGTTTATTGGATCTAGCCAAGTCCGCCTACATCGTCCAGTATCTGGATGACTGGGCGATACCGTTTCCGGCCGAATTCGATTATCCTGGAGAGAGTGTTGTCATGTTCGAAATCCTTGGTAGGATTTGTTATGTCCTTGGCTTCCCAACCTCCCAACACATTGTTGCGCCCTTGGACAAGAAAACCCTTCACTGTGCCATCCTTTCCGCACGTGAATCCCAGGAGCGGGGCAATACGGCCCGCGATTTTTATCCCTTCGACGTTTCCGGCGAGTTGACCGACCACTCGTATTATGACGACGAGTACGGCGTTCCAATCCCGGCCGTTTTATACGGGAACCAGTCTTCCCAAGTTGGAAGCTGTCTGGACGGGTCTATCGGATGGGAATATATCTGCGGCGAGGAGGAAGGGTCGGGAGAGGAGTCGGGATAGGGGCTTCCGCGTGTTTGTTCGTATTTCTGAAAGGTCCATTTCTTGCGCGTCTTGGTCACATGCGCCAATTTTCTTCAATCTAAACTTCGCATATTTGCATAATTTGCCTTGGGAGTGATCAATTCCGTTTGGCCATCGTGAGGGATTTTACTCGTCTCCTCGATGCTTCGTGAACTCCAGTTTCACTTGATTCGTTGGCGCGTCAACTTCCTAAATTTCCTATAGTTCGTTCCGACTGCGGGCTACTTCCCGGATATTTGTTCCTGCGAGGTCCTCCTATATGATTCCTGATTGCTGATTCGAATAACCGGCCTCTGATATTTTGGCAACGTTTTCTTCTGTTTCACGGCTCCTGCCAATTTTGTCCGTGATGGTTTTTATCGCATCCGAGTTTCCATTCGGCTAGATCGACCCAATGTGGTCAGATCTCCGTTCCCGGAAATTGTTTTCTGGGAGATGATCCTCGGTTCCAGGTGGCGCGTAGTAGTCACGTGATCCCCCGATCAGATCTCGGACAGGGGCCTTCTTATAGCACCTAGATCAATAAAAACTCGATATTTTCCGCGCTTTTCCCTCCCTTCCCTTGAACGACGCGTCTAAACGCGCCCGCCGCCTCGTGGCATCCGTGGGACCGTCCCGAACCTTATTTCGCTGCGCATCAGTCTTCGATCAAAACATACCGATTTAAGGTGCGTCCATTCAATTCGTCCCTGGCCTCATTTCTGACTCCATTCTTCTTTCTTCCCAACCGCCACGTCCTCACTCTGGCTTCCACATTCCTCCTTTCTTGCCTTGTGTACTTCTTGGCTCTGGCGACTCTTGCGCTGGGGTTCTATCTCGGTCGTTTGTTGTATGGCCCCTGGACACGGTAAACCTCTTCGTAGGAGCAGCCGCGAACGTCGTCCGCCTCCTTCGCCTCCCTCCGCTACTCTCAGGAAAGGCGGCCGGTCGAGTAAGATCGTGGTGAATCGAAAGTCTTCGTAAGTCGCCGCCGTGTCCTTCCCTTCCACCGAGGTTGACCGATCCCCGTAGGTTAGCAAACAACGCGTCTTCTGTGGAATCTGCCACCGAATCTGGCTCGGATTCGCAGGAGTCGTCCTCCTCAGAACAGTCCTTCTCCAAACGTCGTGCAGCATCCGCCTCCTCCGACGACGTACCCCTTTCGTGTTCCGTTCCAGATCGAATGGGAAAGACTCGCCGCAAGGCCGCCGCCGATGACGACGTCGTCATGGAGGTCGCGGACGTCGGCGAGGCCCCTGCCTCCGGGGCACGCGAGACGCGGAAAACCGAGAAGCGCAAGAAAAAGCCCAAAGTCAACTTGAAGGCGCCCGAGCCGCCCGCCAAACCGAAATCGTTGTCGCAGGTTGCCGCCGATCGTTCTGAATCCCCTGTCGCGTCCACCTCCCAGTCCGTTGAGATCCCTCCGGATTACCACCGGGTCGACCTCAACACCTACGCTTTCCAGGGGGAATTCGGTTGGGCGGACATTAGATTCCCTATTTCCTACGATGAGTCCACCGTTCTGCTGCGATTCGCGTACATCCGGGAGTACACGGTTGAGTCGGCCTGCGAGTACATGCGCGTCCATCGGCGCGACCATCCAGACTTTCTTCGCCGCCCGGGGTGCTCTGACGCCGATTTCGCGCACCAGGGTTTCCTCTTGATGGAGCCAGGCTCCAGCCTTTTCCCGGAGGGGAAATCCATCGCCGCGGTCCTTCTTCGTTTTAATGGGTTCAAAATTGCGCACCAGAGCATCTTGTATCGTCTTCCTGCGATAAAACCACCTCCATTCCCGGAAGACCCAAGCCACCCTTTCTTTTACGACCCCGACGATCCCGAGCCACCTGAGCCCAGCACAGATACGAAACCCTTCCCTCCTTTCGAGGACAAGGCCTGCTACACGCTTGCTGAACGCAGCGCCAAGAAAGCGGAGTGGCGGAACTTGGTGACTGCCCACAATGCGTCGGAGGCGGAGCGTGTTCGCCTTGCCGTCGACGTGTACGACACCAAGCACGCGGAATGGGCGTCGAGGGCCTCTGTTCGTATCGAGAAGGCGCGGGCGCGGGACCAGTACGAGATCGAGGCCATTTCGACGTACAACCGGAAACGGCAGGAAACTTTCGACGAATTCTCCTCCGCGCTGCATACTGCCGGCGCGTACCTCGTTTTCCTTATCACCGACGACCTTCGCCGCTCCCGCCTTGCCGATATCAAGGATACGAGTACCACCGCTGAGTCCGGTCCTTCCTGGCGCCCGAAGCGGGGGCGTGCGCCTCTTGAACTCCACCCAGCCATCGAGTCGTTGTCCGAGACAGATCTTCCCAAGTCGGTTCTGGACGAGGTCCTTGGTCCCAACGGCTTTAAGGAAGATCTTTCCAAGTACGATCTCCAGACGTTGGTCACTATTCTTCGTGTTATGAAGATCCAGGGCGTGATGATTGGCGAGGCGCGCTCCCAGTCGTATATCTCGATGTACACGGGTTCCGAAAACGAGTACGACCCCGACGCCTGGCACAAGGATAATTCGCCGTTCGATCCCAACGCAGGGACTGGCCACCGCGTTCGTGGATGGTCCGTGGATGCGGAGTCTTCTGGTTATATAGAGGGCTTCGTGCAGGACGAGCTTATTCCCGCCGTGATCGCGAGGCGGATGTGTTTTACCCGAGGGATGGTAAGTCTTCGGTTCTCGTACTCCATTTCGTCGGCTAACTTCTGAATTTCCTAATCAGGGTTGTATCGAATGCCTCTTTGGGATGATTCCGTGCATTCGCGTAATGCACGGAGATTCACCCGTCGCCGGTTCTTGCATCCACTGCCGTGCAAAGAAGAATAAGTGCATCATGACGCCGGGTCCTTATTGTTTTGCGATAACGGGTGAGTTTTGCTTTTAAACCCATTTTTTGTCGCGATATTCGATTGCTGATTGTGTCTTTTTTTTTTTGTTTCCCAGACCGGATCCTGGCTCTCTTCAACGAGCACTGGGTCCTGTTCGTTATCCTCGAGTCCCTTCGCGACCAGCATTGTCTCACCGGCGGCGGTCTCGCCGAATCGATCCTGAGTCTCCTTTTCCGCTGGATCCAGGCCACTCGCGGGATGGACGCCGCCGCCCTCGTGCGTCGCTCCTTCTACGACCTAATCGCACAGGGGCCCTCATCTGTTCCGTCTGGGGAACCGATTCCCGCCCTTCCTACTGGGCTTGCGGAAGCATACAAGCCGGTCGTTGGTGGGCTTGGGATTGGCGACGAGGATGTTGTCGAGGAGGCCACGGAGACCGCCGCCGATGTGAAGGGGAAGGGGAAACGTCGAGCCGAAGACGAAGTTCCAGGTACGTCCTCGGTAGTTTTGCTTCTTAGTTCCTTTCTGATGTTCTGACTTCAAGGAAATTTGGCCAAGCGTCGCCCCCACCGCGAGACGTCCGTGCCCGCCATCGTCGCTGTTCAGGATCAAGACATGGACGGCGCCGACTCCGGTGGGGAGCGTGTGGTGCCAACTTCGCCTGCCGAGCCACCGCCGTCGACTTCGGGCTACCCAACGACTCGGGAATCTTCTCCCCCCGCAAACACGATGCCTTTGACCGCGCCGACGTCTCCTCCTGGTTCCTGCATCCATACCCCGCGCGCGCGCACGCCGTCCGCCGACCCTTCCTTCTCGTCGCTCTCCGGTGCCCTGGATATCTTCGGCGGCGGTCGTCTTGCGGTGCCCGCATACTCCTCGCATGGTTCGGCACCTCCTCCATCCTCTGCTCCCGCCGCCGCCGAGTTGTTCAACGATGATACTGGGTCGAGCAGAGGTGTACCCATGTCTGATTCGTGTTGCTGATGTGTCTGTCGCTGCCCACCTGGGCATATTTCTTGCTTGTCGCTGTCTCGTATGCTCGTCCTCGGTAGTTTTTGCTAAATACCGTATATCTCGTAGTACTTGATTGTTTTCTTGATAAACCCCGAATGTATTGCTGTTTGCTTGTGTAGTAACCGCTGAACCGGAGTGAGAAAATCAATCCTAAGTCCAATTTTGCCCTTCGAGCACATTTCGACGCGTCGCGTCGCGGTCACGTGCGACACCGAAAATCATGGATTTGAGGGGAAGTCCAATTCCACGCGTCCGGCGTCCCACCTGGATCGTACTGGGTAAATCGTCGGCCTTATGGCGTATTGGAAACGCGTCGCCCTGAATTCTCTGGCATTCGGTGATCGTTTATTGGCGAAGATGTTGGTTCGACTCCAACTAAGGCCCTGCCTTGAAATAGCTCGCCTTCTTGATACCTGCTTTTTTATTATCGGCCCTATGGCGTATCGGTAGCGCATCGTCACTTGGTGGACACGTTCAAAGACCTCTCCGACGACTGTGTTGGTTCGAATCCAACTGGGGCCCTTTTCCAGCTCCCGTTTTTCCTTTTCCAACGAAGCTCCCGTGGCGCAGGGTGCGCACTCCCTCCAGGTGACCCTTGGAGACCGCCTTCGTTTCGGGGAGGCCAAGGGTTCGATTCCCTGCGGGTGCATACCACCCGGTGTTCGACTTTTTCTTTTGGCAACTCGTCATTATGTTTTAACCGCGAATTTTATTTTGTTTGTCGGATGTGAACGTCGTCCTAGTGGCGCAGGGTGCGCACTCCCAATATCTTCGCCTTCTTGTGATTTTTCTGGGAGTCTAGGGTTCGATTCCCTGCCAGGGCATGATACTGATGGATACAGATTTTTTCGCGGTCACATGTCTCCGTGTTTTTGGTACCCGGGGGTTCAGCCAAGGCGAGAAAAACCTCTTGCTTCCGTGTTCTAGGGGATAACATCTTCTTAGAAATGCCGTTTCTCGTTCCCGGAAAGTTCTTCCCAGGCACTCCAAGGTGCCTTTTCCGGAGGTAAGATGCGCAGTTTTCTTTCCGGAAAGTATGTCCGGGGGGGGCGAATTCGTGTCTGAAGGAGGTTCGGAGGGGTTTTTTTTTTTTTTTTTTTTTTTTCGAATGATTCGGGAGGAAGGAAACGAGTTGAGAGTGGAGGAAGTGAATGAATTGAAATGAGATTTGAGGCGAGAATACAATTTTGCATAATGGATTCTGGAAGTCCGTGTCTTGCTTCATCCTTTTCTACCCCTTGCTTATTCTGGGACTGCTGACTGTCCCTCGTACTGCCTCCTGCCATTATCTCCCCATTGCGGCTCCTTTCCCTTCTTGGGCTTTGGCGTTTTCGGCTTTATGAAGCTTGTGACGGAAATCCTAATCTGTGATCGAGGGAAATATGGGATCAACCGAAAGGCTGCGACCGGCATTTTGGAAACTGCGCCGTTCATTCCGCTATTACGTAGGAGCCCTCGGATTTTCGTTGGATAACAACCATGGGGCCGATATCGGGGCTTGGCTT